TCCGGTGATCCTTCCTCCTCAGCCTTCCAAGTAGCTGGAACTACAGGTGCGTGCTACCACGCCCGGCTAATTTTTTTTTGGATTTTTTTAAATTGTAGAGCTGAGGTCTCACCAAGTTGCCCAGGCGGGTCTCAAACCTGCGGGCTCAGGCAATCCACTCACCTCAACCTCCCAAAGCGTGGGATTACAGGCTGAACCACCAAGCCTGGCTGATTTTGTTGTTCTTTATTGCAGCATAGTATTCCATAATGTATATGTATCACATTTAAAAAATCCAGTCCACTTTTGATGAATATCTGGGTTGATTCTATGTTTTTTGCTATTATGAGTAGTGCTGCAATAAACCTACACATGCAGATGTCTTTTTGGTAGAACTATTTATGTTCCTCTGGATATATTCCTAGGAGTGAGATTGCTGGGTTGAAGGGTAGGTCAATTTTTATTTCTTTGAGAAATCACCATACTACTTTCCGCAAAGGATGAATTAGCTTACATTCCCACCAACATATAGGAGCATTTTTTCCTTCACAGCCTTGTCAACATCTGTTGTTATTTGACTTTTTATTTATTTATTTTAAAGATGTGGGTACAATTCAGGATTAGATATACAAGTGGACATCGTACAGGTTACATTTGGGCCTCTTTTTGGTCCCCACTTTGCCTGATTTGAGATCAGGTACCCTTAGTGATGTTGTGTCCCCACTCCCACCCGGGTAGTATCCCACTACTGCCAGTCCCTTTCTTATAGTATTATGGTAATGTTCAGGGTCTGCTAATGAGTGAGAACATACAGTACTCTATTCTTTATTTCTGTGATAGATCCTGAGTATGATAGACTCTAAATCCATCCAAGTTGCTGTGAAGTCCATGTTTGTCCTTCTTTATGGCTGCATAATATTCCATTGTGTATATGTACCATATTTTTAAAAATCCAGTCCAGTTTTGATGGGTAGCATGATTGGTTCCATGTGTTTGCTTTTGTGAATAGTGCTGCAATAAACATGTGTGTGCAGGTATCTTTATGTTGAATGATTTTAGTTACTCCGGGAATATTCCCAATAGAGGGATTGCTGGGTCATATGGAAGGTCTAGTTCTTTTAGAAATGGCCACACTGTTTTCCATAGAGGTTGAAGTAGTTTGCATACCCACCAGCAGTGCAGAAGTGTTTCCTTTTCTCTGCATCCTTGCCAGCATTGGTTGTTATTTATTTTATTAATAATGGCCATTCT